CCCTAAGAGCATGTCGTCTGGATAGAATATAAGGGGCAGGAAGTAGACTGTGGTCAAAAGAGGAACTCATAATTTTTTTTTTTTTTTTGGCTTTTTGAAACAGGGTCTCGCTACGCAATTCAGGCTGGCCTTGAGCTCACTTTGTAGGCCAGGCTGGTCTCGAGCTCTCAACGATCCTCCTGCCTCAGCCTCCCAAGGGCTGGGATTATAGGTGTGTGCCACCACGCCCAGCAAACTCCCTAAATATTTAGTATGCTTTTTCAGATATAAAATCAACATACAAAATCAACTGTGTTTTCATAATTAGCAAAAAACGACTAAAAGTGGAAATGTAGAAAACAATAACAATTACAATAATATCAATGAACATGAAAACCTTGAGGGAGAAAAACCCAATAAAAGACACAAAGACTGTCTTCTGAAAACTACAAAAGACACCAGAAGAAATTTATTTATTTATTTACTTGTCGTTTTGAGACAGGGTCTTGCTGTAAAGTTCAGGCTGGCCTTGAGCTCGTTTTGTAGCCCAGGCCAGTCTCGAACTCCCAACGATCCTCCTGCCTCAGCCTCCTGAGTGCTGGGATTGCAGGCGTGACCACCACGCCAGGCTACATTGGAGGAAATTTTTTAAAAAACATAAACAAAGAATCGATCTACTTTTCTAATGCATTAAAATACTTCGTGTTATCAAGATGTCACCTTAATATCAATTGATTCGCACATTCAGCATAATTCAGTACAATCCTTAAAAGGTTTTATTTTGCAGAAAATAAAAAATTGAATCTGACATTCAGATGGAAATGAAAAAAGGCCTAGCATAGCCAAAAGCAGCTTGCAAATTAAGAACAAAGGTTACAGATTAATGCTATGGTATTTCAAGGCTAATCTTAGGCTGGAATAATGGAGACAGTCTGATACTATTCAAAGGTAGAAAAATAAGCCAATAGAACAAAAATAACTTTACACATAGATGGACAACAGATTCTTCACGAAGGTGCAAAGGCAACGAATGCATTGAAAAACAGGAGCATCCTCAATGAAGCCAGAATAATCAATATGTGAAAAGAGAAAGCCGGATACATACTTCACACCACCCACAACAAGTGACCAGAAATGGATCACAGACATAAATGCAAACTTAAAACCATGAAGTATTTAGAAGAAAAGATAAAACAAAATATTTTTATTCTGAAGTAGGCAAATATATTTTAGATACACTGCAAATCAAAGTGCCATAAAAGAACAAATTTATAATTACACTTCATTAAAATTAAAATTTCTGCTCTGAACTGATGAAACTATAGACTAGGGAGAAATACATGAAATAAAAGACTTGTATCACACACACATATACTTACACAAACATACACACACAAACACACACTAACAGAAAAAGAAGTAAGCCAAATTTGTTTAAAAAGGGCAAAAGAGATTTAGACAGACATTTTATGCATAATAAATAAGCACATGAGACATTTCTCAGCCTAATTTTTCATAAGGAAAATGCAAAGTAAAGCAGCAAAAGAAATCCACTACACACCTGCTAGAATGACTAAAATTAACACGACTGACCATATCAAGTGTTGCTGACGATATCAAGAAATGGAAACACTCCGACTTTGGCAGTGGGAACATAAGGTTGTACAACTACTTTGGAAAAGCTTGCTTGGAGGTTTCTTAACAAATAAAATACATAAGTCCCGTCTGACCCAGCTTTTATACTTTCAATTCTACTCAAGAGAAATGTGTCACATCAACACAAAAACTCTCATGAATCTTGTCAGCATCTTTATTTGTAGTAGCTCAAAGCTTAAAACAGACATTTATTATATTTGCATGAAAAAAACTATGAAATTTTAATAAACTAGCCTGTAGTGAAAGAAAGCACATGTAAAGGCCAAAGAGAAGCCATTTTGAGTGAAACAAAAATAATCAGTTTTAGGATATAAGGCTCATTTGATTTAATATAAATTAATTGAACCTATTCAAGATGTGTTTAAGAAATTTTAGCTATAAATGCCTAGTATCACAAAACATGACCAGAAAAAACACCCTTCATTTGTATCATTTTCTGTATGTACTTAATGTAGCTCCTTGGAGTCGGGGGAGAGGGAGAGAGAGAGGAAGAGAGAGTGAGGGGAGAGGGGGAAGGAGGAGGAAGGAAATTTTCAGTGGGTATCAAAGGAAAGGAGGAAAATGCCTTGCAGAGGTGCACCAGTTCGCTTTCAAAACAATCATTTATATAACTGAGATTAAAATGTATCCAGCCCATTTCAGCATGAAGTCTTTTCAGCGGAAGCAGATAAAGATCTGGGCTGCTGAAACTTGTTTCGCGGTCCTATGAAAGAGCTGCAGGATCACTGACACTTACTAGGTATGAATCAAGGTGCAGCTTCCTGTGTAAAGGTGAAGGCTGCAGCAGAGCACCTGCACCCCAGGTTATAATGACCTGGGCGGAGGCAGAGCGGGGTCTGGGGAGCTCGAGATCTATGTATGAATCAAGGTGCAGCTTCCTGTGTAAAGGTGAAGGCTGCAGCAGAGCACCTGCATCCCAGGTTATAATGACCTGGGAGGAGGCAGAGCGGGGTCTGGGGAGCTCGAGATCCTGCTGCGGGTTCCCGCAGTTCTGATTCAGCAGTGACGCTTTCACTTAACTTGCGCTTTCACGCTCTGACTTAATCCACGTTGGCCCTATGAAATGGTAACCACAGGTGCAGTTTGGGCAAAAATAAGACTGGCCGTCAAGACAAAAGTTGTGGGTTTACGCCCCTGCCGAGTGTGTGTGTGTGTGTGTGTGTGTGTGTGTGTGTGTGGTATTGGGGACTAAACCCAGGGTCTTACATCTGAGGTACATCTTGGGCTGGGCTTGTAGTTGTGATCCTTCTGCCTCAGCCTCCTTCCTAGAGTGCTAGGATTACAAGCCTGAGCCAGGAAGCCCTGTCGCCCTGCCCCTTTTTAGACTGTGTAACTTTGGATGGATATTTAACTAAATTATCTTTATTTTCCTCATCTGTAAAAGGGAGACGGTTATCATTTCCCCAGAGTTTTCACTTTTCAGTTACATAGTGGATAGAGAAAATCAAGTCAGCATAAGCCCTGAATAATAATGGCTGGATAGTAAATCAGTGCAAAAAACAAACAAGTTGGAGGCCACCCAGAAATAATGCTACAGTAACAGAACAGCTAAAAGACAACACTATGGCACAGGAAAAGAGGATTAACTGACTATTTTTCTCCAGGGCAGGTTAGTCCTCAAGTCTAACAGAGACACTTGGCAGAGCAGTACAAACTGGAATGCTAATTGAACTGGATTAAACATCAGGTTATCTAAGGTCACCCTCTTCGCAGTCTGACATTATCAAGTATCTCTTTCAAGCATAATCTTACCCAGAGGAGAAGCGGGACCCCCTCAGAGACCTTCCTCCTTCTCTTCCCCCCAAGAAAAGCTTTCTTCAGTTAGAGTTGCCAAATGAATTTTATCTTATCCAAAGGAGGCAATAGTCATGAGGTAAGTTCCACAGATTCCTATTTCCAGGAAAAGTCTTTCAACAGTGCTCGTCTTCATACCTGAAATGCCAGTGACTGTTTGAAGTCTAAGGATTTCTTTCTTGTTCCTAAGGAAATAAAGATAACATATTTGAGGTTAACTTTGAACTCCCAAGTATTTTTGAGAAAGACTCGCTAGAATCCACTGTCAGTGGCTGCTCTCCAAGGAGTCTGGTGTTAAAACATTATCACTGCATTACTCCCACATGGTACACTGTCTCTATAAAATCACATCTTGTAGTTCCCTAAGAGAGATCAGTGAAAATAGAACCATTGCATGAGCAATAGTAGGCTTAAAAATCAAGGAAAAAGTCAATATGAGCTAGGACCATCTTTGTCTAAAATGGTCTTATGGCAAAGACTTCCAGAAAGTTGCTTGTGAAGCTCTAAGCCACACTGGAATTGAATCTCTTGAAAATTTCGAAAATGAATTTGTGCAGGAGGGCAGGGCACCATGACTATCTGTGAATGTTACAAAAGAAAGTTCGGGAGAAAACATACGGGATTTTGTAGAAAAACCATCATCAAAACTAGTAATTGACTATGCTTGGAGACATTATACTTGGTTTACAATAATTTGAAAGTCTGTTTAAAATTTTCATGCCAAGATAATTCAGTTCACTGCCATTGGAAAAAAAAATGTGTCATGTAGCACTTTTGTGAGGAAGACGGAGACTACGAAAAATTAGTGAAATGCAATACAGTAAATGTTAAGACTAATCATAGAATCATCAATAAATTTGTTAAAGTTTAGATAAGTTTCAGGCTTGCCAGGCCTGATAAGTTTACGTAGTATAGTTTTTGGACTTTAGTACACTCAGTAGACACAGATTTTTGTTAGACAAATTGTCTACTCCATGCCCAGAACTGTTGTTTAAAACAGGTATTTAAAAATATAGCCACATCCCAGAATGAGAATTTTCCTCAAAATGTTTCTCTAAAGAATTCCTGTCTTCAGCAAGTAAAAGTAGCACTCCTGTGTGTTTACAGAAAAATCTAAAGTGTTCTAAGCCCAAAGTTATCAGCTAAATTTACTTCTTGGAAAACAATTTTCAGTGGAATATTTACGCAGAGGATGTTGAAGATGACAGTGAGGATCACTGAGAGCTGAAGGAGGAGTCCAGGAGAAAGAATTTCGCTTTTTTGTCAGTGAAATATGACTTTACAACCTTTTTTATTGACTAAAACACAAAAGAAGCATTCACAAAGCCTACTTAAACCTAAGTCGGAGAACAATTTTAACCAAATCTTTATTTTACCGGAAGTGAAACTTGTAAGGGACAGAAAGAAAAAGGAAGCCAGAAAAACTACGAAAAGGCCATTTCTTCTTCCAAACTCCGGTAGACAAGCAAACAGAAATGTCAGTAAAAAGCCACGCGTGCACCAACACTTCATTTGGCTATTATTCTGTTTGTCATGCACAGTTGATTGTTCAGAATAAACAGCTCGGCCTCTCCCTCTTTGTATCTTCTCACCCGACCTGGGCTTTCACAAGCGGGGCTCCCCTTCCCGGCAGAACCGGCTGAGGGAAGGACGTGAAGGATTTCCCACGACTTGTGAACCAGGCTGTGAATCACAGAAACAGGAAGAGTATCATCATCCCTGCACATCTGGGAAAGGATTTGTTTTTCTTCTCACTTTTGTGCAAGCTTTAGCGTTCTGGTACTTCGGAAACGAGAAAGAACCCCTTTTCTGAACAGTCCTCTTAGTCGCAGGGAAGAAGGCAGGGGGGCCCGGTTGAAGTTTATGGTGGGGGGTGGGGAAGGGAGCAAAGTATAAGTAGCGTGGACTCTACTGCCCTCTAGTGATCGGACTCCGCAAAAACTGTACCTGTTCTGTTGATTTGTTGTACTTGCTCCTAGGCTTGGTTCCTCCCACTCGGAGAATTTCAACTGAAGGGAAAAGTCTCACGAGATGACAGCATTACCAGGAGTGTCGGGAACAGCCACATTTTACCTGATGTATCATAACTAGGAGCTGGTCCTTTATTTATTTATCCGGATCACTGAGGAAAATACACCAAACAGAATCAGCACAACCAAGGTGTTCTTGGATTTTTTTTCCAAAATAAAAAAAACAAAGTCAAAATTTAAAAGCCAAGTTCCCTAGCCCTATGCACAGTTCCTCAACGCGCTTGCGTTTCTGATAATTATCTAACTTCCTTTTCACGTGTTAAAGGATGCGGAAGATGAACGCTGGCCGGTAGTGTGTGCACGCAGAAGCGTTGGCTGTGCAAACCTGAATGCTAAGGGTCGCGCTGAGCCACATATTTAAATGGGGGCTCAAGGCCACATCATCTGCTCCTTTAATGTGTCTCTAAAGTTACATGCAAATCCTTAATTTCTTTTCTTCTAAATTTTCCCTCTATGTGTGACTTACATTTAAAAAAATAACATGCTAGTGATGTTCACCATCAAGCTAAATTTATCTGTAATATACTTCCATTTAGTAAGTTTTCTTTATACTCGCTCCAAAAATGCATGCATGTTCTATTTTTTTTGTACCGGGAATCAAACTCAGGACGTTGCACTTGCCAGGCTGGCGCTGTGCCACTGAGCTATATCCCTGGCCCCATGCATGTTCTCTCAGATACACAAAACATTAAATTACAATAAAATGACTGTCTTGTAACCTTATACTGCAGTCACCCTACAAACAGAGACGTTTAATCAAACTTATGTTATTGCACCAATAGTAAACACAGGAGTAATTCAAATATCATTTTTGTTTCGTCTCATTTCCACGTAGCTGTACGAGGATGTAGTAGGTGGTATGATGATGAGCTGACATGTGAATTTGCCTGGAGCTGCTATGGGCAGAGCAGAAAGTTTGTCAGCTCCAAATCACAGGGAGGTTTTGAGAATCTTTGATTTGCTACTTCCTAAGCAAATTGCTAGTCTCCAGCGTTCTCCTCCGTGCTGAAAGATATTTCAGGTAGCTTCCTGCTGGATACTTGTATATCTCGACTAAGAGCTCAAAATGACTCAGTGTCTGAATTTTTGCAAGTGCAGCTCAATAAATTAATGATAATCATGAGCTATTATTCATTTATCTCCCTTACTACAGTTTCAAATGTGCAAGTTTAATGCTTGGCTAATTTCCTTCCACTGTGCTAACCCAGTCAAGCGATATCATAAATTAAGTATTGAATTCCTTTTAAAGCATTACTTCCAAGTGCATGTGTTAAGAATTACTCATTGTTGGAAAACCTGAGCTTTAGTTCCAGTTTTACAAGGTACTGTTGGCAACTTTGACAAAGTTCAGCTATAAAATAGGAGTTAGATTAAATTCCTTCCTAATTTGAAACTTTTACTGTTATTGAAAGTCAAGAATTTCCAGCCCAATTATTTAGTTCTTTAGTTTGGAATGACAGCATTTCTGGCTCGTTGTATGGGATTGATATTTTGGTCAAATTAAAAAGCTAGAGATATGATAGATACTTGGAATATAAAAAATACACCTGTGAACAGATTTTTCCACATAAGAACAGCCACCTTAATAATGGCTTATACTGTACACCCTAACCTTCCAGTGTCAACTAAGTGATGGAGTTGTAGCTTGGTGAGTATGCCAAAAATTGGCCCAATATTTCTCTTTTCAGTTCCACGCATACTGCAAGTTGGAAGTCACACATGACTATACGCAACTCAAAACTCAGGTAATTCCTCAAAAGAAATAAAGGCACTCCTTGCTTTTAGCTCAAATTATATATATGTGGGGAGGGGCGCAATTTATGTTGTATTTTTTCCTTTCATTTTTCTCTTTTTATTTTTTTATTAGTACGTGCTTGCAGTACACAATAATTACACTTGGTGTGGGAGGTTGGTGTATGTACATAATACATTTATTTTTCATCTCTCTCCCTCCTTTCATCCTCTTTCCTCTGTATTTTGTTCCCCACCCCTTTTGCAAAAGATCTCTCTACTTCCTACTTTTTTCTCTACTTCCTATTATCCATCTTTTATTTTACTTTTTATTTGTACTTTGGGTTTCTCTTCTAAGAGAAACCATGCAATTAGTAAGCTCGTGTGTCTGTTTCATTTCACTTAAGGTTATGGTCTCAGGTGCATCCATTTTTCCAAAAATGACTCACGGTTAACCTGCTTTATGCAGAATAGTACTCCACTGTGTACAAATGCCACATTTTCTTTATCTATTCATCTGTTGATGCACATCTAGGCTGCTTCCAAGACTTAGGTATTATGAATTGCGCTGCTATTAACATGGATGTGCATGTATCACTGCAAAACGAAGTCTTTAAATTGTTCAGGAAGATACTGAAAAGGGGAATAGCTGAGTCAGATGGAATTTCAGCTTTTTGAGGAATATCCGTAATGATTTCCATAGGGGATGTACTAGTTTACATTTCCGAACAATGTAGAAGGGATCACATTCCCCACAGCCTTGCCAGCATTTGCTATTATTTGTCATTGCATTTTCTTAATGATGGACATTCTTTTCAGAATAAGAGAATTTCAAGGTTGTTTTAATTTGCATCTGTCTAATGGCAGGGATGTTCAACGTTTTTTCATTTATTTATTGGTCATACGTACTTCTTCTGAGAAATGTCTGTTCCTTTCAATTGCCCGCTGTTTGATTGGGTCTTTCATTTTGGTGGGTTTAATTTTTCAAAATTCTTTATCTATTCTAGATATTAGTCCTCTGTCTGTGAAACAGTGGGCAAAAATTTTTCTCACACTGTAGGTTTGCGCTCACTCCATTGTTTCCTTTGCTGCCCAGAAACATTTTATTTTGATATCCAATTTGTTGCTTTTTGGTACCACTTCTTGTGCCATTGAGGTTCTGTTCAGAAAGTCCTTTCCTATTCTTATATCTTTAAGAAATTTACCTACTTTAAATTCCAACAAATTAGATGTTTTTGTTTTAACAGTTAGATCATTGTTACTTCAGTTTAGTACAGGGTGCTATTGTGGATCTAGATTCAATCTGCTGGATGTGGATGCAATTTTCCCAGCACCACTTACTAAAGAGGCTACCTTTCCTTCATTATGTGTTTTTTTGGCCCTTTGGCAAAGACCAAATAGCTGAAAGTGTCTAGGGTTGCTTCTGTGTGCTCTACCCTCTTCTATTGATCACATGTCAGTTTTTGTGCCAATACTTGGCTGTATTTTGTAACCCCAGCTTTATAATATAACTTGAAATCTGGGATTGTGACACATCCTACTTTGCTGTTGTTACCAAGATTGTCTTTGCTATTTTGGACCTCTTCTGGTTCAGTATGAATTTTAATTGTTTTGTCTAATTCTGTGAGGAAAGCTGCTGGTATTTTGATTGGGCTTGCGTTAAATCTATATATCAGTTTTGGAAGTATGTGAATTTTGACTAAATTGCTTCTTCCTATCCAGGAACATGGGATATCTTTGTACTTTCTTATGATGTCTTTGTTCTCCTTTTATAGAATGCTATTGTTTAGCTCTTTCACACTTCCTTGATTAGGTTAATTGCTAAGAATTTCATTTTTCTTGATGGTATTTTGAATCATGTTTTCCTAATTTCTTTTTCAGTGGGTTCATTATTGGTGTTCAGAGATGCTGTTGAATTTTGTGTGGTGATTTTTTATCTTGCTACATTGATGAAATTTTCTTAATTCTAGAAGGTTTTTAGTGAAATTTTTTTTGGCCTTCTAAGTATAGGATCATGTCATTTGCAAATAATATTTTAACTTCTTTCTTCCCTAAACATAGGCCTTTTTCTTCTTTCTCTTGCCTGATTGTTCTGATTAATGTGTCAGGTATTGAGTTGAACAGGAGTGGTGACAGTGGACATCTTTGTCTTGTTCCTGATTTTGAAGGGAAATCTTTCAGTTTTTTCCCATTCAATATGATGTTAACAGCAGATATGTCCTAAATGGTTTTAGTCAAATTGTTGTATCACCCTTCTATACGTATTTTCTTCAGGGATTTTATGATGAATTTATGTGAATTGTCAAGGGGTGCTCTGCATCTATTGAGATGACCATTTGATTTTTGTGCTTGTTTCTGTTAATATGATGAATTATATTTATTGGTTTTTGTATGTTGAACTATCCTTGCATCTTGTGATAATGTCTACTTGGTCACAATATATGATATTCTGATGGTTTGTCGCATTATTTTTGCCAGTATCTTGTTTAGGATCTTTGTATCTATGTTCATTAAAGAGACTGTCCTCTAGTTTTCTTTTGTGATTGGATCCTTGTCTAGTTTTGGAACCATGGCAATTCCAGTTTCCAGGAATAACTTTTAGAGTACTTCTCTTTTGATTTCAATAAAGAGTTGGAGGAGTATTGGCGTTAAATCTTCCCTGAGCACCCACACACGTGCCCAGTGACATGTGAAGCCCCAGAGCAGGTGATCCACGAAAGTGCTGAAGCTGCGTTTGTGTCTGGGTTTGTGTTCCTGTCTGGGTGGGAGCAAGGAAACATGTGGTCTGTGATCACTGCCAGCTCAGCCCACCTCTGGCCCCTGTGCTCATGGTGAAA